TTTTTGTCAGTTTAAAAAAAATTGATGCCTCTTTATCCTCATGCAGAAACAGTTTTTCCTCACTTAGTTATATATGATGAGATCTAGGTAGAAAACAAATATGTATATATAACACTTTTATGAACCTACTAATTAAGTCAGAGGATGAGTTTTACATTTGGCTCTATGCCTCATAAGTAAGAACAGGATTATCCTTGTAGGGAAACTTAGAATCTAGCTTCCTCCTTACTCCTTTTTGACTGTTGGAATCTTCTTTGTCAGGAAAATGTTTTGTATATAGTAATGGACTTATGGATCATCTATGTGTTTGTGAAGAGGAAGGCAACAAAGCATGGTATAAGAAGCCAGGATGTTTCCGGGGAACACTGGTAAGGACATTATATTATTTCTAAACAGTGTATATTTTCTATTTTTCTATTTAATGTTATGTATGAAAGATTTTCCAAATTGCAGGAGAGTAAAATTTCATTGTACAGTTAGCACACTTATCCGCATTGCAGGAGAGTAAAATTTCATTGTACAGTTAGCACACTTATCCGCATTTAAAAACTAGATACCGAAACAGAAAAAGGGAAGTACTTTTTGGCTTTTAACTTGGTTAACTTTCTTTTCATCTGTCCGTGCTTTTTTATGTAAAAATAAAAAAGGGAGTACATTTTTTTAATTAAACTTTTTATTTTGAGGTAATTGTAGATCACAAGCAACTTTAAGAAAAATATATAGACAGATCCCATGTACACTTTTCCCAGTTTCCCCCAAATGGTAACATCTTATAAAACAAGTGCAATATATGATGTCAACCAGGCTATTGACATTGTTACAGTTAAGACACAGAACAATTCACCACAAGGATCCTCCTGTTCCCTTTTTATAGTCACACACATTTCCTTTGTGTACTCACCTGCTCCTTAACTCCTGGCAACTACTAGTTTAGTCTCTATTTATATAACTTTGTAATTTCAAGAATTTTTTATAAATGGAATCATAGCATATAGTACTTTGGGACTGGCACTTTTCACTTAGCATAATTATGTGGACATTCATGTAAATAGTTGTATGTATCAATAGTTTGTTCCTTTTTATTGCTTTTTGGCTAATTTGAATAAAGCAGCTGCATACATTCATGTACAGATTTTTATATACAGGGTTTTGAGTTATAACAATACTGCATTGATTCCTCCACATGTAGTTCCATTTTTAGGTATACAATCCTCCAAAAGTGTTTCACATTTCTGCACATTTTGTGAGCAAGGTACTGACTGGTGGTTCCCAACCATACTTTCACAGATGGTCATATAGTGAGTAACCTTGGAAGATATAGTGTTTTCCCCTAGAGCAGCNGTTAATAATAAAAGTCTAAAGAAACAAACTACCATTCATTTTCATAAAGTCATTATTGGGATAATTGATAAACTTGGGGTATGAACTATAGAGTACTATCAAAATTAAGTTTCCTCAATTTGATAATTGTACTGTGATTATATGAGAATATTCTGAGGTATGTAGGATGAAGGGCCGTGATGTGTGCAACCTACTTTCAAATGAAAAAAATGATATGTAATGTGATTGAGTTTAGTGAAGTTATGGATTAATATGAACTCATATTGCCATTGGAAGTATAAATTGGTTCAATCCTTCTGGAAAGCATTTTGTCTCAAGATTTTAGTGTAGTCCAGCAATCTCCTATAGTACTTGTAGGAAGACTACAAAAAGATCCATGTTTAAGGATATTTATATGAGAATGTATGAAATGAATGAACTAATGAAAAACTGGCTGTAACCTAGTTGTCTACCAATATGAGAATGGTTAAATAAATAAAACTAAAACCTGTTTAAGCATTAAAAATGATAATGTAAGTCTATATTTATTCACGTCTATATTTTTAAGTGTCAAAGTTGGCTACCAAACAATATGAACAGTATTAACCTATTTATGTTTTTCAATAAAAGATTCATGTACACAGATAGTGATGTTTACACGTTTAATTGATGAGATGTAATCTGCATATGCACGTGTGTGTATATATACACACAACATTTGCATATTATGTCTTTGTGTGTACATAGACATTTGGAAAATGACACCCGTATGTTGCCAGTGGTTATTTTTGAATAGCAAGTTTATAAGTGATTTTTATACTGACTTTTTAGAAAGAGTACAGTTTGCTTTTCTCATTCAGTTTTTCTAAGATAATGCTTCTTATGGAGGTTATGTTTTTTAGTTTTATTTTATACCTTTGTAACAATTACTGGTGTGCAATAAAAATAATGCTATATTTACTGATAACTCTGTCCCAGATTATAGTATCTGAGAAGTTCTTAAGAAGCTCAATTCACAGAGCCTTGTTCGCCAGCTGCTTTCATTCTGTTACACAGACAGGTCGATTTTCTTAATGCTCTATTAACTGTCTTACAAATGTGATGCTGCTCGCATAGCTTAGCTGAATGAAGTACAGAACCATTTTTGGCAAATCAGAGAACATCTTCTATTAATGACAATTGTGTAGTATAAGCACATACATATTTACTTTTGATAGTGGTCACACATGTGCTTTGATATTAATATTATTTTTATAGTTTAATTTTTTAGAAGTCAATTTTGAGGGCATTTTCCATTAAACTTTTATTTACATCTTGCTTTTCTTTAACAGATTTTCTTCAATTAGTTAAAAAAGATGGATCCTGAAGCAGGGGGACCACAGGTTATCAAAGTGACACCTCTTCAACAAATGCTTGCCTCTTGTACTGGAGCTATATTGACATCACTAATGGGTAAAATAATGTTATGTAGATTATGTGACTGAATGAATCAATGAATACATTTGACTTTTACCATCTGTAAAATAATGATAAATTATCATTCATCCTTCATAAATGACACTATCCCCTCCATCAACATGATAACATGAAAAGAATCCTAGATAGAGAATCAAGGGACTTGAATTCTAGTCCTTGCTTTGTCATTCTCAGGGTGAGTGCACTCTGGGATTGTCTTTCTTCTCTCTGAGCTTCATTTTTTATCTGTAAAATTAGGGGCTTACACCATGAGTTCTTTGTGGTCTCTATCAGTATTAAACTTTTATGACTCATCATTTTTTTAAATAGAAAGCAAGAAGATGAAATAAATTATCAGCATAATGAATAATACAGAATTTGGGCAATTTACAGTAGCAACAAATACAGATTCTGTTTCACTTTGTTTGCATTAATGGTGAATTTCTTAAATTTCTCTGGACCACATTTTTCTGTGTTTTTATAGTCAGTTTCTTATAGATATAGCCAAATGACATAGTTAGGTGATAATTTTAGCATTTTAAAGATTTTAAGTTGGCTGGTTTATTTAAATAAGATAGCAGATAACTAGAACAAACAAACTAATTGCTTTTGGATGTAGTATGTTACTTGCAGTCAGGAGGTTAGGGTTGTAAAGGCCCTAGAGATCATCCAGTGTGACCTTCTCATTCTCAGATGAGGAGGAGTTTTCTTAGTACTATTATTTGGCATTTTTTTCTACTTGGACAAAATAAACAGCATGCAGTTTAAAACCATTCTCCGTTGCTGTGATGTCCCAAATGGAAGACCACCTAGCAGTAAAGATGATGTATGGCTAGCTTACTGAAATTTACATTACCTATAGTTTTTATTTGATATAGGTGAATGGTTAGCACTCTGGACTCTGATATAGATGAATTTAACAGATTAGGAAAACTGATGTTGTTTGATTACTTATAATACAGTTATTTTCAAATATTTAAATAGATTTTTGAACTAGTATTTTAGTTTTAATGTTAATGGAATTATAGTTGTAGAAATATTGCAAATGACACTTCAGTGCTTGTGAAAGAACTGATTACATTGTCTCCTCATTAAGCCTCTTCAAACAAAATTCACGGGCAAAAACTAGAATGTTATTTTCCAAACTACTTTAAGATAAATAATCTTACCATTATATAGTAATGATGAAAAATATAATTCAGTGTATTTTGTGTTCTTTGTACAAACATCTCTAAATTCACAGGTATCACCTATTAATTGAAATTTATGTATCTTCATAGTGACACCCCTGGATGTTGTTAAAATTCGACTCCAAGCCCAAAACAGCCCATTTTCCAAAGGTATGTACTAATCATCCTAAAAGTGGTATGTTAGATTTTTAAATGTTACTGCATTACTTTTTTTTTTTTTAAGATTTTTATTAGGGAATTGGGGGGATGGGAACAGCACTGGGGAATTGGGGAAGGGGAACAGACAAGTTGCTGTCGTTTTGGTCTTCAGTCTAGTTGTGCAGGACGTTGCTCACTGGCCCAAGTTGGCACCATCACTGCGCTCTTCCCCAGGCGAGGCAGATCAGTTGCCGGCCTCTGGACAGCGGCTGCTGGCCGCTCACGCTGGCTGTTCACACAGTAGCCCAGGGCAACCCACTGCAGCAGGGGCTGCAGCCTACACCATCACCAGCGACTCACGGCAGCCCAGCTCCAGGTCGAGCTGTTG